CACAAGAGAACTCTTGACTTTTTTTTTTTTTTTTTTTTTTTTTTTAACTTAATATTGTACCAAGAGGTCATGCAGAATGGCTCAAGGCTGAACAGAGTGCTACAACTTAATTGTGCTATTCAAACAAAGTTTTGCCAGAAGGGTCACAGTTCCAAGTACTCACAAGAGTACTTCCACTGAGGAATGGTATCTGAACAATTATTCTGGACTTCAAAGCAGCTTCCCAGTTGCTTTTCACAGTACTGTGGAGGTAAATGGTATGTCTGCAGGGCAAAAGGGGGTCCTGTGTGGACATACCATTCCATTTCTGCTGCCACAAATTGTGAAAACTTTATCAGAGGACAGCTTGTAAGGATGCAGTAACATAGGTCAAATTAGAAACTGAAACTTAATTTCTCAAAAGCAGATACCTCTATAGCATCTTTTAGTGAACCTGCTAGCAAGAAAAATGCAGCTGACTGCTCAAAACGTTGTTTTCCCAACAAAGCAAAAGCATTTTTTAAAGCAGCTTTACGCCATCGGTCTTCATTGAAGTTGTGGCTGAAAAAGGCAGTCATCTTTTCATCATGCTGGGACCTGTATAAAGAAATGCAATGTATAGAGCTATTTATTATGTACCTCAGCATACTATCACTTGAACAACATTACTTGAAATTAACTCTACTCTTGAATGAGTTCTGCTTTGCATTCCTGGTTCAATTAAGATTTGATCAAACTTCAAGTCAGCAGAACTCACCTAAACAGACCCCACACCACTGCCTTTTTCTTCATAGCAAGGTAAAAAAGTGCAGCATCTAAGGCATCGTTGTTCCTCTGGAACGAAGCTTTTGCAACCTGCAGTGAACAAAGCCTGCTATTATTGATGAAAATATAAAAGCTGCTTTTAGCTAAATAACCTGTGTTCTTTGTCACAGAGGATGGCCAGGTAAACTGTGTTATCTCTACAAAGCAACAAAGTAATTTCTGTAAGAATATTTTATTCCTATGTAACAGAGCTCTACACTGCAAATGTTTTTAAGAATCAGAAATACAGCACTATTGCAGATAGCAACCTCTCTCGAGCTCAGTGGGACATTAGCAATGTGCAAATAAAAATATTTTCTTTTAAATTGTTACAGTAACTCATACTATTAGGTGAAATTCCTCTGGCAATCCATTACTTAGAAATACTTAAGCTAATAACAGTATCTCTTGAATGAACACAGTTTGGGTTTTGTATAGGACTCTCATGTAATTGGATTTGGAGTACTAGGAGAATTGTTTTGCTACTGGATTCTTTGAATAAACTGTAATATTTAAAGATGTATTTTTACATTAGACGTCTTGGAAATTTAGCACAGTAGACACATCTAACAGCATGGAGCTAGAATCTGTAACCAGTAAAAAGTACCTTCTCAATGCACCTTCGGAGAGTGTTGATATTCCTGACCCACCAACCAATGCCCATAGCTCTCAGCTCAGACCACTGCGGGTCTCCCTTCTGGATAGCAGGAATCATATTGATCAACTCCTCCTCAGCCTCAGAATGGAAAGCCCATGCAAAATGGCAAGTTGACAGGCCTAAACAATGACATAAACCAATACAATTCAGAAATCTAAGAGTTGCTAATAAGCAAATGGAATATTTCAGGGATGCAAAGTGGGGTCTCCAACGCAAGAGCTGGGTACACCTGAGAGACACTGATTCCCCCAAAAGGAAGTAGAGCTGTTAAATGAACAGCTGAAGTATATTTTTGCTTTGCTTTTTTTAACTATGCAGGAATTGTATGTTGAGAGACTAAAGGAAAAATATTCTGTTATCACAGAAGCAGATCCATTTTGGGCCAGAAACCCTTCTCTCTGCTCTTTAGGTGGTAACTTTTTTGCTTTTATTGTGAAATAACTTGTGTTATTTCACAACATTTACTCAGATTGAGCAAAAAAAAACCTGTTGTGATGAAAATAATAGAATAGTCTTTAAGATAAAACCATGCTCATGTAAGGAAATTTCTTAATTCTTCTAGCAGAAACAATGAATTACATATACAATCTGTGTTGGGCAATTCATTCATGCCTCAAACTGGATAGGCCAGAATATTCTACTCTAGAGCTGCACTTTTTTTGCTATTTATAGTGTATGTAGGGAAGCCTACACCAAGCCTTTGCAAGATAATGGCCTTAATGACATAGAAAATTACTATGCACATAATAGAAATATGACATTATAAATCAAAGGCAAGCAGATGCTATGAGGGTTACCTTGGTGGAGCAGCTGGACACGGTACAGGGGAGGCAGGGATGTCAGCAGGCAGGTGTGCAGGCGCATGGCCAGCAGGTACCGAAGGCCACATTCATCTAAGGTATCTCTTCCTGTGCCACAGAAAACACTTTTAAACATGCAGCTGAAACATACAGTAGGCAGAGATACAAGCTATCATAACAGTGTGTGAGGAATGTATGTTTCTAAGGCTGCTGACAACCTGAACTACAAGGTATTTATTATGTATGAACTTCAAGTTCTTACTTACATCTGTTTTTCTTTCCTGATGTATCTAACCTGAATAAGTGATGCTAGCTTTCAGCTTTGTTATCCCAAAATACCCAAGGACTAAGTTTACCTTTGCTGAGAAGAAAAAGAATGTCAATTTAATAATATGTCAGTTACTAACCTGAGTAATTCTTATCTCTGTTCTCATCTAGTTCAGTGCTTGTCATGGCCACAGTGTCTGCCAAAGCTACAAGGAACATCTGCTCCAGTCGAGTGAGGCCTGGCAAACTTGAGTGCATCAGGTGGCTTGAAAGGACACTGGCATGCTCTCGGCCAAAGTAAGTTGGCCCATACTGTGACAGATTAATAACTTTGGATTTACTCTCCCTCTTTTCAGGCTCAAAATCTATAAAGTCTTCCGTTGTAACAGGTTGAATCTGGAACAGATCCGAGTACTGATCCTCTGTTTTTCTCTTTGCATGGTCTTCAGAGCCCTGAGGTATTTTAGAAGTTTCTTCGGCAACATAGGTGGCATCCTGATCAGCAGCAAGCAGTGCATACAGCGGCAGCGGGGGAATTGAGTCTATCTCTGTGTAGTCTCGGGTACCATCTTTCCCAGCAGTAATGGTATCCTTGGCAGTACTGCCACTCACACTGATGGTGCGAGAAAGATGGCGTTTAGGACCAGTCCCTTCTCCAGCCTCTGTGTCTTTGACTATTGCAACTTCTCCTGCAATGCATTTAACTAAATGCGACAAAATGGCTTTGGCTCTGCGAACTTTACCCAGGTCCATCAGTTCTAATAACTGGGTTGGATGATACTGGGGTAGAGTAGGTGAAAGAACATGAGCAGCTTCAAAGAGGCCCGCATCCTGAATTACAGTTGGAGTGCCAAAAACATCATCCACAATACCTGCCCCATCAATTACACTGGTCTTCTTCATTACTGCGCTTGTTTTGAATGGATCTTGTGTTGTTGAGTCTTCAGAAGGAAAAACATCACTTTCTCCATTAACAAACTTGACTGCGTGTTTCCACTGGGCATAAACGTGCATTTCACAGTCCATTCCCACCACCAGTATTCCATCTCTCACCCAGGACAGAGACACAGGCAGGGAAGGAGTGCCATCCACAGATGAAACCAAATCAATGGACCTCAGCAACACCCACTTTGACTTCACACCTTGTTTTATGCTCCCTCCTAGTGGCAGGGTGATGACAGCTACTCCCTCTTTGCTGCTGGTTTGATCTGTTACAATCCCTGAAAGCCTTCCATACATGAAGATGTTGGCACCCACTCCAACTGTCAGTATATGTGAACCATCTTCTTTTGAAACCCAGTCCAAATGCACCAAATGCTTGATACTGGGCACCAGGTATTTGTCTTTATTCAAGAAAGCATCTGACTTACTGTAAACAAATAAATTACTATCCACGCTGACCCTTGAGTCAAGTACACTTCCGACCTTAACTAAATCATCCAGATGAATTGTCTGTTCCAAAACCCACTCTGATCCTCCAGTAGACTCACATTCAAGTATACAAACATGCATGGAAAATTCTTTGGAAACAAACCCATTATGCTGTATGGGTTGTTTGTATGCTACTGCAAGACGTCCTGTGTAAGAACAGCTAACAGCAACTGGCCTTCCTACTATGCTCACTGTACTGCTGTTGTCTTCCCCTTCATCGTTCATTAAAGGCCATTTTCTCCAGTGGTATGTCTCCTTCTCCTCAGTTTTGCTGTTCAGGTCAGTCTCTACAGTGCATCTCCAGAACCGCACTCTGTTGTCCGAACAGGATGTTACTATCAAATAAGGTGCGAGGCAGACAGGGTATATTGATGAGGAACTCAAGTGACCTGAAGTCAGAACAAACATATTTACATTTAGCAATAGACTGTAAAATGCCTTTATGATTAAGGCAGACATAACACTGTCTACCTACTGCTAGAAAACTTTACAACCTGGTGTTATTTTTTTAATTTCGATTTGGAAAAGGGCAAATAATATCAGTAACAGTCTTGCAGCTTGAACATTACCTATCATCTGCATTTCTGGTCATTATTGAAAGAAGACAAACTGGAACTGAACTAGTTCAGAGAAGGGCTCTTAGAACAATGAGAGGAATACAAAGACAAACACAAGAAGGTGTAAGTGCATCAGGTAGAAAACCCACTATATATCAAACACAGGAATGCTGGTAACTGAGCAACTGGATATAAATTGTTCATTAATAGATTAAGACTAAAAGTTACACTTACAACTATTAGAACAGTATGTTTCAGGAACAGTGTTCCTGTGGGGACTTGATATGTTTACAGAAGAGTAACATGCCATGGGCATGATGATTTGAAAGCACCTTTTCAGTCCTTTGTGTTTTCTGTATCAGTAAATCAGAATCTTATAGGCTGGGGAGATACAATTCTATAAACTAGGAGATAAATAGTGGACCAACTGTATAGAAAAAACTGTTAAAGTTACCTGCTGAAGGAGTTGCTCTTACTACTTCCACACCAACAGGAAGATCCAGGGGCTGGCTATACACAAGTCTGGAGCTCAGAATGAGTTTACTGGCAGTCTGAAGGTTAGCAATTGATGAAGATCGTGGTATGGGACTTATGCCAGGTGATACATCTGGAGAAGAATCCACAGTCTTCTGCTCAGGTACACTAAGCTTATTATCTGCTGAAGATGCTTCAGTTGGCTTTGCTATATAAAAAAATGCCAGCAGTGTTAAAAAATTGCTTGTAAGAACAAAGCATGAATATCAGATAATCAAATTTATTTGTTTCTACAAGAGCTCAAGTTGCACACAAAATAATTATACGATGTGTGCATGCTGTGTCAATTTTATTGCATGCTGTGACTATTGATTTAAGACATACATAACATTCTGAAATACTGATAATTTGAAATAAAGAAGCCACTGCTTAAGTACATTACTCATCCCATCAACACATTTTAATAGTATAAAATGCAATCAATATTTGTAAGGAACTTTACTGCTTCTATTACATCGATATATTATTCTGAAGATTCTTGATTTTTAGGCTTCTGCTGGGCAAAGGTGATACAATTTGTTTTATAATAAACCACCCAAGTTTATCTTAAGTAATATCACAGAAATGTCTAAGACAATTACAATCACTCACTCACCTAAACAGGCTTGCACAGATTTGAGATGAAGATGCCACATTTGAAGAACAGAACAGCCACTACTATCTTTTTCAATTACTACCAGGTAGAACTTCTCTGAGAAAGGTGGTGGACGATAGCCTGTAATTTACATATCATATATAAAATATATAAACATATATATTGATATAGGGTCATAAAATTTATGTTTAACCTAAATATTTTTCTGTAGCAAAAGATTCTCTAAAAACTACTGACAATAAAAACCCTGTTTTCATCTTTGAAATAAATAGTTAGATTATAAAACAAAATATTGAAACAGTATCATTAGTAGCATGCTTTAATTGGCATTTTGATTACTCATGATGACAGAAGAATTACAAAATAGATACTGACTTACAGACAATCTGAGTATTAATGGCAAATCTAATTTATTAGATATTTGCCTTTCCATTCAGTTTGAACTATTTTGCCAGACTATAAAGACTCTTCTACCTGTCTTTCCTTTTCTTTTGAAGTTTGAAGTCTCCTACCAAACTTTCCAGTGACTTTCCATTGTGTTAACTTGAAATCCAGATCTATTGACATCATCACCTGCAACTACCTATTGATGCAGAAAATGTGCTTCTGTTCTGTTCACATTTTATATATACCATAAATACTTTGAAAAATGCACTTTGTCATATAAGCTGTTTCACTCTAAGCAATTAGAAAATCTTTGTTTAACACCACTTAGCAACAATTCATGTGATCAATACATAACAGCCATTTCAATAAATTTTACAAATTATCATTTAAAATTAAATTACCACATGCCAGCCAGATTTTTTTGTATTCCTGAAAAACATTTTTGGTACCATTTAAATTCATATTAGTAATAGTTTATGCTATACCTTGTGATGGCTGGAAAAATATCTCAGTTTCCTTCCCTTCTGCATCCTCCTTATGTGGTTTGTATCCCAAAATGAAGTCTTCTTGGAAGACATGAAGCAATTGTGTGTTTGAGCCACACTGAAACATTGAGCAATTGTTATGTTTCCAGAACAGTACAGCAAAATTTAGTATTAATGCAATTAATTATTTCCCCTGTGCAATCTAGCTACCAATAAGGAAGACTTTCTTTTATAAAGTTTAAAATTATCATCAGAAAACCCACATATTTTCCTTGCATATTATGAACAGCATGTTCTAGAACTCATCATTTGTATATTGAAATAATTTCCCTGAGGTCTGCCAGGACAGACAAATTCTGTAATAACACTTCTGCTGCAGTTATTGACAGATGAATTAGTATCTGATTCATTTTTATTTCTTTGGTGTTGAATAAATAACAGTGGCAAAAAGCCTCAGACTTTTATCCCACTTCAGTGGGAGGACATGTCTGCAGCCAATTGCTTGGGAAATCTGTAAAAGGGAACAAATTGTAGATTTTCCTTCTCTCAGATATCTTAACATCTATCTTTTCTGACAACAACATATTTCTTTGCAGTAACTCTACCTCTCTACAGAGAAGGCTGGTCATGGTGAAATCCTTCCCTGCTGGTAAGGAAAAATACATCCCCAAAATACAGTGATGGCAAAGTTATGCTGCAAAACACCTTTTTTTTTTTTTCCAGAGAAACAAGATGGTATTCCTTGTACTCATTTATACAAATTATAGGAAAATGTTTTGTAAATCTGAACTTAAATTTGAAGATTATATGTTATTGATATATAAAAGACACAGAAATCTACTGACAATAGAGAAATACTTATTTATAAATGATAAAACTCCACAGTTTTCTAATTAAAATTGGTAAAACTCACTGTTTTTACAAGCTGCTAACAGAAAACAGCACTGGAGCATATATCATATATATCATTAAAATAACTGAGTAAGAAGAAGGTTCAATTATCCTACCTGCTCATTGATTGATAAGTATAGCTTTGTTAATTTATAAATTTATTTTACAATACAAACACAGAAAGCTTGAAGTCATACCTGGATATCATTCTTACATTTTGGATAGTTAGATCTAGTTTTTAGGTTTGAGCTTGTAGAAGCTATTTTTGTTTGTTTGGGTTTGAGGGGATTGTAATTATTTCCTTTAAACTATGATACCATGGAAACCATTCTTTAGTAAAGTTTTGTTTTCTTCAATAATTATGCTTAGAAAATATAGTTTTACTCTAAAAATTAACTTTGAGCTCTTAGCTGGTAACAAAAAGTTGGCTTAGTAAAACGCTCAAGGCATCTAAATATTCACAAAAATTCAAGGCAGTCATTGTCACCATAAAGAATTGTAGTCTCTTTTCAACAGATTAGGCTAATTAACAAAGAAATTTATTAGACACCCTTATGTGATACCCCTAAAGAGTCAACCATTCATTTACTTTGTTAGTTATTGCATCGAGCTCAATGATACATCCTGGTCGAGCAGTAGATTGTTGGCTCACAATATTAAACACCTCCCCAATAAGTTTCTGAAACAGAGAAAAATGAGTAGAATTAGTATATATTTCCTTTGGACAGAAGAGAATTGCAGTTGCTTATGATAAACTGATACTTCAATTTTTTCTTGTTGGCACAAACCATTACAGAGTTCTTGCAGTTGTCACTTTGACACTCATGAATAATGTAGCATGTGCGCTGTTGTGAGTCAGTAGCTCTTCACAGGGATGAAACACCAGTTTTTATGGAAGCTAAATATTGCTAATTTAAAGATTTATCCTTGCATAACACCACATAATGTGTCTGTGCAATGAGAAACAATATACCCTTTCACTTCTTTTTCAAGCTTCAGGTTTTGTCACAACATGTAGAAAACCACCTTCAGTACAGCTTATATATAAGCTGAAAGCTCTATTGATTTTTTACAGGAATGTTCCTAGTCACTGCTCCTAGAACGGATTCTTCAGACTGATCTGAATACTGACAGGCCCTGTCTTGCAAGATGGTTTATGAAATAACAGAAGAATGGAAAAAAATAAAGATGTGTTTCTTTATACAATAACAGTACAAGGTCAGCCTTTACTTTTCCTAAAGTCACAGAAATGAAAGATAAAAAGAATGAAAGAATTAGTTATTGGAAAAAAAGAAAGCTAATATGACCCTTAGCTGATTTCCTTATATCCCACCATCTCTGCCCTTCCTCACATATAGATGTAGCTCAGGTGGGTACACCTCAGCCTTCCTTTTCTGTTTTCATCTTCCCTCTTGCTCTTGACTCCCCTCTTCTGAGAGGACAAAGTAAGAAATCCTATTTTTCCTTTTCCCACCTGCCGCAGGTTGGGGAAACTTGTATGGGAAATTTTGGTTCAGTGCAGACACTTTTAGTAGTAATAACTGCATTTTTTCAGCTAATGCTTAAAGACAGCCTGCAAAACATGCAACTATGCAAGATGTAATGCATAAGATCTATACATGGAATGGCACAAAAATCACACAGAACTAAAGGAAGACAAACCACTGGAAGGAAGAAAAGGTGAGTTACATTAGTTGTATTTTAACAGTTTCAAACCAAACCATTGCTATGTAGAACTTACAGATGATTCGGGGTCAGATAATTCATCCAGAAGCTTTCGTGCATCTACAACAGCTTGATAGAGCCTCAGGTTTTTGCCATCTGATGCAACAAAGCAAGCACTAGCAGAGTTGCAATAGGTACCTAATAGAAGACACAAAAAAATCATGAAGAAAAAAATGGCAGTCAATGGCATCAGGCAGTCTATTACAATCCTCAGGATGTGAACACGCTTCAAACATAATTTTCATCAAGCATTGAAGCAAAAAACCTAAGCAAATGTGTGCATTAACAACATCATTTGAACTTTGAAATAATTCTCTTTGTGCTCATGAATGTACCCAGAACTCCTGAAGAAGGTTCAACAATCTAAGCTGAACTCATGTATATTTACAAACAATATTCACACAAGCCTCAGTCTGTAGGACACCTAAGGGAACGCTGCCATTCTTTACTCTGGTGATGTTTGATTCACTGCCACCTCCAGGCACTGCTTGGAAGAGCCAACTCCAGATTCCCAAGGTTGTAACAGACAATTCAGGGTAGGAGTCTTAGGGGAAACTATTCAGCCATAGCTTTCTTCCTTGTGTATTGACCCTAGGCTCTTTACATAAAATTAACCTCTATGAATATTCCCTTCTGCCCTGCAGTTGAAAGTGCAGATATAAAAGTGGAGGGAGAAATAGATCTGTCTACAGTTCTGAATAACATATGAAAAATTGTAAGAGTGTATTTTTTTGCTTCTCAATAGTATATACAACAGGCTTGACACTCTAATATACATTTTCCTCTAAACTACAAGAATGCAGCTCATTATTTGTGTTTAGAACACTTTGTGGGATACAGACAGCTCAGAATGTTACTATGTAAGCAGAGAAAATGAATTTGTTTTATTTTGAATCAAATATATTATGTATTTATAATTTTGCATTAGTATAAAATTTAATGTTACACCCACAGTACAAATGTCTTTTAGTACTGTATATAAACATGACAACTATTACAACAGCATCTTTGTGATAATTAGAAAATAAATATCTGTGTGGCTGAATGGAGTAACATTTGTAGAAGTAATTTTTTTAATTGCAATGGAAAGCCCTAAAATTAAAAACACAAAAACTGAAGAATTGGCCAAGGGCATCACACATCAGATGTTGTACTCTGACCTCTGAAAAGGTGCTCTTTGCAGTTCTGTAAAGTTAATGTATTTATTTATAAACATCCTGGGTTCCAACCAGGCTTTTGTAAGCTTCTGGTGGTCTGAAGAACTTCAGTACTGTTTCAGGACCTCCTAAGCAGTTTTTAGCCAGCATGTTAAAGGAATTACATAATGCCAATTTTGGCTGGAAATCTTCCCCTATAGTTCTGATGTTCAGGTGGTCCAAATACTAGCTCTGTTCAAGCCCCTGCCCCTGCAGCTGCACGTGGCCAGCACCCTAAGCCATCAGCACACTTGCATTTGCAAACCACATCAATGCAGAGAGCACTCAAGGAAGCTGCCTGAAGCACTGGGGAAAGGCAGCATCTTGTTCTCTGTGAGAGCAAGGAGTGCTTACTCACACAAAGGAGTTCCTGAGTGTCAGCTAATCCACAGGGACTGCAGAAACACTCAGACCACTGCAAGTGATTTACAGTAGCTTAGCCAAAAACAAAGTAAAAATGCTTAATTTGCATAGTAAAATGAAATTTTTGAAAAGTTAATACAAATACACTCCAAATAAAACAGTAATTTATTTTAACAAATTAATTCTACAAGTCACAGTGTTAACTCTATATGGAAACACGTCAGGTATACTCACCAAGGCAATAGCTGGGAATTAGTGTTGGAAGCCAGGCTACGTTAGAGAAAGCAGAGGTGTGAAGAGAGTTAATTCGAGCCAGCTCAGACACTCCTCCAGTGTAGGATAAAGGTCCTATGGGGTCTACTCGCCACAGAATCAGCTCACTATAGATTGCATTTGGGTCATGGAATGTACGGGTTGCTGCATTTTTAAGTTGCTGCTTAGAAGAACCTCTCTTATGTTTAATAGGATCCATCATCCTGCTTATCCTGTCGGAGTCCCAGGAGGTGTCTGACTCAGGAGTTAACAGAGCATTGTGATGAGAAGATGTCAGCAGCAATGGTAAAACAGAATGGCAGGCCAGATCATTGAGGTGAAAGCGGTGTCCACAGTACCTGAACTTATGGGATACAGTTAGCACAGTAGTGAAAGCTGATTTATCAGCAAAAGTAACTGCCCACTGGTTTAGAGAGCCATCTATATGTTTGGAAATCATCATTACCACAGGAGAAATTATATTCACATTTGCACTGTCCTGGGCAAAGCTTGGTCCTTTATTTGCTAGAGTACTATTTGGAAAGTCCATTGTTTTCTGCTGTGCAGCACTGCTGCTGTCTTTTACAAAGACAGGACAGGCATACATCATAATATTTTTGCTAAGGGAGCTAGCATCTCCAGATGGAAATGCAACAGGAATCCTAGAGGAAAATGAAACCTAAAAAAAAAAAAAAAGAAAAAAAAAATTAGAATATATGAAGTCAGCTTCAGCCTGAATAAATGCTAAATATTTTACAGGAAGTGCTTAAAACGAAATTCCTACTGATGTTCAGCTCTAAAGCAAAGGACAATGTTTGTTAACATCAAAAATAATAAAACCATTTCAAATATACCATACCTGAACTTGTCGAAAGATGCCTGGAGTGTATTCATCTAAATACTTCACATGCCACACCAGAAAGGTACCATCAACAGGATGGATAGTAAAAAGCATGTCTGGATTCCTGTTCCATTCCGTTAGGAGCAAGTCGATTTTCCGGTCCAACAAAACTGTCGGCAGAGGCAGGCGAGGGCCCGCTAGCAGAGATGTTTTGGGGCTTCCTTCTCTTTCTCCATCTTCGTGTTCTGAAGAGCCTGTACCAGTCCCTGTCTCTGATTCTCTGTCTATAGACAAATCTGCAACAGAAATGTGCCATTTTATGCAAAGGTTTTCCTATCAGTTTCCATTCAAAACACAGTATTTTTTAATCTGCTAGTAGTACTAGCTGATCAGAATTAACCAGATTACTAACCATGATCTAACTTCATACGTAAGCCTTTTTCTTTTTCTTCTGTTTCTTCTTCCTCTTCAGCTTCAATATCAAAATCTTGTTCTAGTTGTTGTTCTGAAATTTGTCTTAGATGCTGCATGAATACTTCAATAGAGGATGTAAAATGAAATTCTTTATTATTCAGCCAGTGGACAACGAAGCCTCCACTTCCTTCATCTATATTAAAAGCAGTTCCAGCCAACACTGAAGGAATATCTGTGGACATTTTGAAAGAAATAAAAAATCCATGTATTAAACTACATAAAAGTACATAAAGCTATATATTAAGCACTCATTGTTTTATTCATATATGTATGTACACACACACATTTCACCTACTTTAGGTATAACATAATTTGTGCCTGTGAGATTAAAAAAGTTAAAGATCACGTGTTTATATCCAATTGTAATGAAAACAGTAAAGATATTTTAAAGTCAATAAATTTACATGAAAATTTATTCTTATGTGAATGGTAAATGACATTTAGTGGTTCTAACTGCTCAGTTTCATATGTTGCAGTGCTGACTTTCATGTATGGATTTTAGGTAAACCATGTCACTGCTCTTTAATCGTTTCCTTCTTTAAAAATATTCTGCATTATTCTATAAAAATCAGCTGGTTTTCCACCAAAAGACTCTGATACAGCTCTTTTTCAATCACTACATTCTGCAGAATGCAATTACTCTATTCATCATATACCATGGCCCCCCAAACCCAACACTCAAACACCAACCAGACTGGAAATTTATGTTTCTTTTGCTTTCAGATCTGCAAAGATGAATTTAATTTGCTCATAAAAGTGCTGAAGGTATTCAGAATAAATTCAGATTCATTTGTCTTAAAAAACTCTACGCCAAATAACAGAATTCCTACAAGTTCCCTCTATTTAATTAGGCAAAGCTCAGGTTCCTTTTTTTTTTCCATGTTGTGCAAATACATTATTGCAGTCTAATAAATGGCTGTATTTCACCTGTATTAGGGTTGATGCTTGCTGCTATGTGGAAGTGACCAAGTGCATTTGCTTGATGGGAAATGTGACGCTGAACTTCGTGAGTGCCCTGCTGATCTGGCAGTACATCCGTGTGGGTAACAAGAACTGAAGACCTCCTTTGTCCTTTTCTCATATTTTTCAAATGATGAATTGTCTGTTGTAGTTATAAAAAATAAATTAATAAATACAAAACCACCATAAGATAAAAAGTTACACTTACATAAACCCTATAGCTTCTTTCTACCAAAGAAATGAAGGCTAATTTCAAAAGGATTATTTTAAATATATTTCAACACAGATTAGTAACACTTATGTACTTCTGATCTACCCAAAAGTAAAGCTCTTCTAACAGTCTTCTAAAAGTTCCTTTAATATCTACTCAACAACCCCACAAAAATATATAGGATTTTGCACAACATTCATGAACAAGATTAAAACAATCTAAAAGCAGTAACTTTTGTGATAGAATTTTATAATGAATTATTTCTGTATGACTGAAAATTTCTGAGAGCATGTAAAGAGCACAACTAATTTAACAGCCTGAAGTGTAATTGGTCCCAAGTTCCCTATTTATTGATGGCTATGATATTTAAGAAGTGAAACCTTCATCAGATAGTAATAGTCTACAAATGAGTGGTGGGTGTTTTTTTGTTTTCTTATCTTTACTTGGTTTTATATTGATAGTGTAGTGTTGAGAATAACAGACCACCACTTTGTCATCTAGCAGCATCGTCTTTATTAAACACACTTGAGTATTTATATGTTTCTTCTGTGTACAAGAGGGATCAACTACATAGGCAGTGGTTAGGAGACTGATCAATCACACAACTAAAGGGCAGAACAGATGTTTCTTGCTCTTTTTATCTCAGACACTCTCACACATTCCACACAGTTAAATGAAACATTCTCACACAGGTATTTATGGCTGCAGATGATCTTGGTATGCACTTTCTCATGGGAAAAAGGTGCTTGTTAAGCACCAGGAGCAGCTGCTTCCACAGACAGGTTTTCTCTTACTCTAAACTTAATAGATTCGTTAAGACTGTCACTGAAACAAAATTATCTAATGAAGTAACTAAAATTTAAAAAGAGTTTATTTACTCTTTTCATTGTCTTTATAATGGCAGACTTTCAGACCCAATCAGAATGAAACCATCATTACTATTCCACACTGACATTGTCTCTTCCATCTCTGTTAGTTAACTATAGAAAAAGCAAACTGAGTTTTAAAAACATGGTGCTTGAATGCAGAGTTGGAGTCTCTGACTTCTTCAGTGTTTAGTAATAGACTTCAAAACCTGATATGGAATAATTCAGGTTATTCTGTTATGCATACAGGGATTACATAACATACATTCTTAGAGCTCTATATCCTCAAATATATGAAGTTTTAAGAATTGTGAAATAAAAATTTCACTAATTAAGTATTTACATGTACCTCTAGTGCATGTTGTATGGTGTCCTTTTGCTTTCCAGACTGAGAGATGGTGCTGCTGATGCTGGAAGTGGTGGTTTCACAGATCTGCTCCCCCAGGAGAGTATCTTCGGGTAGCAGCGTCTCTGCCCACAGCCGGCAGATGCCATCGAGGCATGACGTGAGTAACACATTACAGACCAACCCCCTGATGGCAGAGACAGCAAAATTACTGCCTGAGTAACTCAGCTACATAGACACAGCAGAATTTAGGGGAGTGCACAAGAATTTAGTAGTTACTGTTTTATCCAAATTTCTGCTTCTTCCCTAACTGAAGGTTAACATGACTATCATTATTAAACCTGGTGATACAGAAGTTAATGGGAAGATGTTGGTATGCTTTGTTTCTTTAAAGTATAAGAAGAGAAGTCTTATGCACTTGATGGCAAAATATTAAGCAGAATGTTAAAAAACCATCTGATCAAAGGCTTGCTTGCTTTTTGAAAAAAGGCAGCTTTCAAACCTGGGCATGTACTTGCTGATGTTCCGCCAGGAAAATCCTGTCACTGCTCGGGGATGTGCCAAATAAACAAAGGAAAACTGCACATCCTCTGAGCTTTTTTTCTTTTCTTCATTCTCTTGAGGAAGGAGAGATGACTTCCAACCAGTCATAGGATACCAAACCTTCAAGAGGCAGTCATCCTAGGTAAAGCAATAAAAAGCCAGGGGTTTAGGTAGCTATAATTAAAAATGTAACAAAGAGAAAATCACAAGCAATAAGCAACTGCTGTTCTGGTGTTGTTCATGAAAACTTGGCTCAGAACTAAAATTCATCTCACTGTTCAGCTAACAGTAGGTGCAACCAAAAAGTGTTTACCTATTGAGACATGTAAACCAAAAGGAATCATTCAAATGACAGGGTGACATTAAAGAGAATTATTAATTGAAAACTTAGCTTGAATAGTGATTTGACAAAAAGTATTGCAAACTGAAATAGAATTGATAACTGAACCCAGAATTCACTAAATAAAAACCTCCTCTAATTCATCCAGATATGTGCATATTATACCAGTTTAAATGTGTATGTCTTCTATCGTAACGATCTCATTACTTTCAACAGAAATAGAAAAAATTTATGCATATCTGAAAATTCATCTAAGTATACTACATCTAAAAAAAACCAGATATACATAAATATATATATATATATATATAACACATACACACATACAAGTCTGTATCACTGTCATTCATTCAGGTATTCAGTAAGAGTACATAGATAAATCCAATTCCTTGCTGCTAAAATCCATGGAATTACAAAAAATACAGCATTACATGAGATCATATTTTACCTTTGCTAAGACTACAATAGAATGTATGGTCCAGGACTATTCATATTACTTACTTTTGTCAAACAAATGAAAAATACTGCAAAAACTCAATTATTCTTTTCTGTCCTTACCTTCCCAGCTGTTGCAAAATATTCACCATCAGGAGACCATGACATCAAATGTACTGATGTTGCAGTCCTATAGAACACAAGAGCAAGTTAAGTAAGGTAAAGTATTATTCCACAGGTATGCAGTTGATTCAGTGTTACTGTTCATTACTTAAATTTAAGTAAAAATTAGATTAAGTATTTTATAATTGTTTCTTTAAGCATACTTTTTGAGTAGCAGGAGCACAAAAGTAATTTTATACTTTACTGAAAAGACAGCTCAAAAAATTGGTTTTAGTACAGCAAGCCTAGGTTTGATTCAACAGGAGTGAGGATTTTTTATTTAAAATAACTTATATTGTTATATTGTTTGAATTTTAGGGTATTTAAAAGCACATTTTAAAATACAGGTGAGATAGCATTGCAATCTGTCTTAAAACAAAAATTATCTCACTTGCACTGCCAGACACATTTCCAGTCATTTAGAACTGGGAGGACTTTATCATCCTTGATCTGACTGCTGCCATCATCATCTTCATCTTCCTCTAGAATGTCATCAGATGGAGGGGCCCACAATTGCAAGAAGTCTGTTGCTGTCAATAACCTGTTACCTGAAAGGGAATGGTACCAAAACTATGGAACCAGGATGATGAAGGTATGTTGAAAGATTAAGCCTCTCATCATATTTTGTTGTGAATTATCCAGAACAAGTTGAAAGGTAAACTTTAGTCCACTTTAAATATGGGTATTCCCCGTTTCCATCATCTCACCCAGTTGGTTTTATCAAAACATTTTGAATTTATAGTATCTTTTAAGAAAGAATACAAAGATTATTTTTTAGTTCCTCTTTTTGCATTATTTAAAGGAGAACTTTGAATCACAAATTTGAATTTACTAATAAATGTTGCAGACGCTTAATAGCTATTCACATCTCAAATAAATACACAGACATAAAGATTCATAGTTAGCTACATTGTTGACTTCAATTGTGCTAAAATTTTATTTCAATGATTATTAGTGACAATTTAAGTCAGTTAACAACTTAGCACTGTGATTCCCAAACTAAGATCTTACATAAGAGATGCAAACACTTGGCACAGCATCTTAACAAATGTTAACTGTAGCCTCACATTTTATGCAACACTGCCTGAGAAGAGGTAATTTAAAATCTGCATATTCAAGCTCTCACTTTATTACATTAAAATATTTTGTGTTCAAGTCATTCTAACTAAAAACGTTGACCAAACACTTCACAAATGATGCATTACCTTGAGGATCCCAGGCCAGGTTGTAAGTCATAGAACTGAGGAAGAATTGCCCAGTTTTCAGCCACTGACACTTCAGCTGCTGTAGTGTAAAAACAGTCAAGGATTAACTCTCACATCAACAGCAAAAATAAAGATATTGGTATTTCTTTCTATATGAAATTGCTACTAAGCCTGCTGCAAAAGTATTAAGTGGTAAATTGCTAAATCTAGTTTTAATATGTTTTTGAATTGTTTTGTAAAATCTAAGTGCATTCCAGGGTGCCCTGCAAACCAGATCTGGACTTGTCCCACATACAAGTATTTCTGTAGATTACTTTGAACTACTGTGACCACAGATTTACAGGAACATAAGGGATGGCAGTATAGATACCACAAAGATTGTGAAACCTGCTTGAGAACATCCCCAGTGCTCAAGTGCTCGGCCATGGCTGTGCTGTCAAAACAAGTCTGGGTGCACTAAACAAGTCTGTGCTGTATTTCTGTACTGCACCTCTGACAACTTCTTCAAATAAGAAATACCAGCCTGTCATTCTAGTATGAGACTCAAGAACAAGATGTTGGGAACTTAACAGAAGTGCAGTCCAAAGTTCATTGAGTGGAAGAGTCTATCCATCCAGTTGTATTATGAATGGTGGAAACTGTTTATCCATTATTCTGTTGTGTGCTGACATAATATAATAAAAATAACTGGCAGACAGACTTTTGCCTCTTCTAAGAGCCTAAACAGAATGAAAATTATGAAATACACACTTACACAATTTCTTTTATGAGAATTTATACCAAGTGGTTCAAAAATGCAAACAGCGTTTCCATATGATGCTGCAATCTGGGAAAGAAAAAAAAAGTTGAAGACTCAAAATGCAAGGTAGGAGGCAAGTGGAGTAAGCGCTCCTTAGTATTCCAAAATACCTAAAGAATTTCCAGTACCTCTTCTATGTGCCAGGGTTTTTGAAAAACAAAATTAATACAAATGTAATTAACTGTGTTATGGGTATATTTTCTTAAGGCAATTGAGGAAAACACACTCTTGAAGAAGCCCACCTTTCACATTTTAACTCTAAACAGGGCAGACATCTCGTTCAGTGGCACAAACACAGTCACATTCTTCTAGGGCAACTATTCTTAATGCATAAGAGAAAGTTGATGCCTTCACTGCTTCTGCTCATGTTCTGTGTACTTCACAGCTAACTAATGCATTAATTATTAGTGTCTGTGTCCCTAGATTCCATTTTGTATCACTAAATCACTAAGTAATAGTTGCAAGAAGCAGAAAGAAATGCAATTCTATTTTTACCATTCAAATATATTTTGAGAGGAGATAAATGGTAAACAGAAAAATTGAAATACATATGCCATTGAACCCCTCAGTTTCTTTCACCCACTTATTTCACAGAAATCTCTAAACACAAAATAGGATATTTCTTAGGTATTTATCTGGGCCTGTTCCTAATACTCATATCCTTTAAGTAATTCTAACTATGTTTAAAATTCCTTTTTTCTTCTTTAAAATATTTTTAAAAGAAAAAACAAGAACTGTTTAAGTCCTTCCCATCCAGGATCTGGTTTCCTCAAAATGGAAATGATGCAAAAGTTTGACGACATTTATTATGAAATCTTATTTCTTCCTTAGGGGGAAGGGGAGAGAAGGTTGCAACAACAGAGTCAGTCCCAAAGTAAAGAACAGACTGTGAGTTCAGAGTCCTGAATGCAGAACCACCCAGGGGTTTGTGGTGGTCTTGTAGGGACCACCTCTGAAGCTGGACTCTCTCTCCCACTCTTATTGGGACTGCACTGCTGAACTTCAAGGGCTCTGTCAACTAAATCTGCCCAAATCCTAACTAGGGCTGCCTCAGTACTGGTACCAATTTTTATCCAGCTAATTCTAGTCAGCAGTGACAACTGACAAACAAAATTTGCTCAGTGCACTACTGGAACTCCTAGAAAATTTGATTCCCTCCTCTTTCTAACCTGTCTTTATAGCATTGTTTAGGGATTTAAAATGAAACCACAAAGCAAATCAAGGGGCCATGCAGTTATGACAGCTCATGGTGCAGCACTTCTAAACAGATTAAACATGCTGAAGCCTTTCTAAAATGTATTTCAAATCCATGACTTTGCAGGACACACAGACACATACACATATGTGTATATACAGATAAATGATTTATCCATTTCTTCTTTCATTAGGTGGAAGCACACAAAATGGAGCCAGTAACCATCATTTCAGTACCATTCCAGTTCTGATCCTGTACTGTAAATAATGCACCTGTTCATATTTTGTGACACCTCTTATTGCAGATCCCAGAAAGGGAATAAAGCCTTTGTTCCAACATGTCTCCCGGTTCCTCTACCCTCCTCCCTCCCCCAAATTACTAATAAATTGAAAGAATAAGACTACCACAAGAGGTGTTACTCAGGAAGTCTCAGATCAGTAAACCATGATCTTTGTTGTGAAGATCACGGTTTACTGACCATAGTTTACTTTCATTCCCTTAATGTATTATGTTGCTGTTTACTTATTCAATTTAGAGTTCTCAAATTTTAAAAATTCTATAGAGATTTATTAAAATCCTTACCCTGCCTTGTCGCTGGGAGCACTCCACACAACTGACCTGGATGTTTCCATGTTTAGCACCGGGAATAATCTGCACACATTCAAAGTCATTTGCCAGAATAACAATGTCACAACCAGAGCCATATGCCTGAAATAATTTTCAAAAGAAATAAAATTAAATGTTTATTTTTAATAGCTAACTGAACACTTGCGACAGGACCGATATTTTTGGAAGCTGCGAATTCCCCAGTTAAGCAGGAAGTTACATTGTAGAGGGTTTGTTCCTCTCTAATTCATGGGCAACAAGTAAAAACAAAGTAGCAAGGGAGACCACAACTCTATATAGGGGTTTAAGTGAAAGCAAACAGTAAAAAAAAAAAAAACAAATCAACCCAAACTCCCAAATTTAAATCAAGGACTTGAGCTCTCTGTTTACTTTTTATTTTGTTTTGTTTTAGGTTTTAGTTGATTTTTTTTCTTCCCTCCAATTCTTGTTGCCTCTTAGAGCAAGGCAGTCAAGCCAGGAGCATTTCTTAATGAATTTGCATGTACCTTTCTTCAACAGGTGCATCTGTACCCCCGTCTGCCTTATTTATTATTTTCTTTTAGATCAAGATTGTTAAGGGATTCTTTTCTATAAGAACGTAATTTTCTGAGTTTTAAGAAGTGCACATTACTATAAGTCTGTAAAACAACAAAGATTTATTTTGGATATACTGTTGTGCAATACATTCCATATTCTAAATAATTTGTTTACATAGTAGCTATAGAACAGTGATAGCCTGCAGCACTCTCTGTTGGCAGGATAAATATATACCTGTCTGCCAACCTTTCACCTGTTCTAAAAAGTTTAATCACTCCAGATTATCTGTCCCACTGAGCTCCCACCTTCAGGCACAGAAATCTCTCCCTAGGATCAATCTCCACTAAGCCTTTTACAGTTAGAGCTGAAAGTTGCTGTCCTTAAAGCAAGTTTTCCACTGATTCCAATAGAGTAGGCAGAAATTTTATAACAGCTGAGTTAAGCAGAGAGTGCAAGTGCTCCACAGTGAATTTCAGATGGTACAAAATTAGTTATCACTTTAACTTGTCCACTGAATTTTTCACAATAATTTTCAAAATACTGAGTCAGCCCTTGCCCTCTCCTTTGAGATGAATGAGTGTAAAGGCTACTTTATTGTACATGTATAAAGTTGTATTTGTATTGATTTACCACCAGTGCCCCTCAGTGGCTGCACTCAGATAAGGGAGCAAGACAACCACTGGAATTAGAATGGACAGTTTAGGCCTCATGACTTTCTATGTCTACTTCTAATTCTCCTGGGAAGGAGCAAAAAGTGAGAAAGGCTGAAAAAAAGTGCTTAATTTAGTGAAAGTACGTCACTGCATGAAACAGAAAGGAACAGCAATACAAGCAGCAAAGCAGAAACTCAGTCCCCAGAAATTAACACACCATACAACTGCACACACAAAAATGAAAATTGCAGATAAGACAGATTGTCTAAAAGATTTCCAAGGTCATCTCACAAAAATAGAATGACACAGTGTTGCGTGAGACATAATAACCCACACTGCTGTTCTGGGAAGCTCTGAGGAACTGATACTGGAGTGATTCACAATGTAAGCAGGATTGCTAAAAGGTTGTTGGAGCAAGATTATCTGTGTAACAGAATATCCCAGCTCCTTGATGACTAGGCTATGTGATTATTAGACTCAGTCTGGAAGGGAGTAAGTTATTATTCAAATTGAATAGGATTATTTCCAGAATGTAAGAGAATGAAAATGAGATTCTGAAGTAAGTTCTGGCATTGAACAGAAAGTCCTTTTGTTTCGCTACTTTCCTATTTTTATAGTGGGATTCTTTACAAAACAAGCTTCACCAGCAGTGTTGAATACTGGATGAAACAGTATAGGCTCTTTAGTACAAAGGAAGAAAATAAAGACCAGGATGTGAATGCCCAGAAGTAGACAGGAAAATAAAAGCACATCCTCTTGTTCCAATAATTTATTCAGAATTTGAATATTCACAAGAAATTGATTCTCCTACTTAAACTTCAAAGGGTGAGCATTAAAACAGAAAAGAATTGAGTCATCTTCTTTTCAACATTCTTCATAACTACCAAGAGAAACCTACTAAAAGATGCGACTTAAATTATCTAAATAAAAAGAGGTACTGATCCACTTAAAAAAAGGACTTAAACCTTTCAAATCCCCTATTCACTGCTGGTATTCATAACTTGAGTTGCAAATTTCAAACTACATTATACATAACTTATCATTAGTTGCAATTTTATTAGTAAGAGACATGTATGTGTGTCTCAAATTATAAAAGGAAAAGGCTTATCAACTTCAATTTCCTTATGCTTAATGTTCTTAAAGATGCCTATTTGTATGTGTTTGTACAGCTCATAATGCATGAAACAGAAAATATTTTATCCTTGGCTATGTCTGTTTATTCTGTGAAACAAAATAATTTAGTGTCTTTCTCTTCAAACATTTTCATTTTTCATCTCTCCTGTCCCCTACCTGCACTTATTCCACCAACAAAGCATAATTTTTCAGATAATTATTAGCTATTTAGCATATTTTTACACAGTTAAGTAAAAATGTGGTTCTTATTCATCAAGACACAGAGATCTCTTTCCTTTGTGAAATCTTATTACTGTCACTTGTAGCCATCCTACTCTTTGCCTGTGTTTACTGCTGCACCAACAAGTGACTCAGCAACCTGAGTGCCCTGTGCCAACAGTGGGGACCCCTTGGCTGGGGGGTAGGCAGAACCCATTCCCAGCAGCAGGACACCAGCCTTCAGCTCTAGGTTAGAGCAAGTGCTGCTATCTCTTGATTCTGGGGTCATTTTCTGAGTGTAGATATTTGTTCTCAGAATATGACTTATTCCTTGGAAGTATATGAAATCTTAAAATTATTTTATGAAGTCATTAGAACACATGTTTGGAAAAGGTCCATATACTTTCATGTACTGAAAAACATTTTCATATTTCATGTTATATGCCTAAATACAAGTTTTTCATTTGATTGTTTTTATGCAGCTTTTCTGATGTCTTCATTATATTAGCATGTTTATACTTGAAGAGAACACTTTTCTGTTAAATCCTCTTTTCTTTTGTCCTTAAGCTGGTAATGCAGCAGAAACACCCCACAGTGACAAAGAACAGGGAAGTGTCATAATATTTAACATCAGTAGTTCCTTCTTAAGGATTCAGCTGACAACATCTTCATGAGGTCATTCATGCCACCACAGGTCTCTCCTGCCAGAGAAACAGAGGCCACAATATTGGTGGTAGCAGGCTGACAATCTGCCTAGCCTGATAAAAGGAATGGAAAATTGGTAAGCCATACAGACAGGAAAGATGAAAAATGCAGCACTGAGATACAGTAATGGATGAGAGCAGCACAGAGCTCTTAAATAAACAGAATTATGAGCAGTGACTGAACCAAACAAGTGCAGTAAGAACCACCCACATGGAGTATTTGCCAACCTCCATTTCTAATGTCACTGATAACTTCAAGGAGAAAATTAAATGGAGTTGCAAAACCGCCAGAATGCAAGGATGACTTGCAGGATCCATAAGCAACTAATAAGCTGTAGTTTGCCAATGTCTGCTCTATCTGTCAAGATCTGGGATCACTGAAATGAACAATTACAAAACTTTAATTGAATGCAGGAGCACCACACAGAAGTAGGACATTGTGTCCTAGTGTAAGAGTTTATGCTATATCCTCAGTTTTCAGATAATATGAAAGCAGCACATGCTTCTGTCTTTTTCAGCTGCTCAGTTTTTCAGTTTGCTTCTGGAACTAACAGACAGGGAAACAATTATTCCTTCACGTTCTCATCTTGATTTTTCTTTATAAAACTACTTTTCTCTGTACAAAAAAAGCCAACAAAATTTTCTATCTATAACCTGCAACTCCTTACAAATTTGGCATAAGTGTAATAAAACACAAGTCCTCAAGCTCCTGTGTGTACTATCAGGGATGCAGAGGCATTTCAAGATGGAAAATGATGTGGAAGAAACAGAATCAGCCCACAGTGCTATTAAAAAAAAGAAATTCATAAACATCTAAAATTACGTAAACTAAAACATCTATTGAAACCTGAAAGTCTGTATTGGGCTTAAAGGACTCCTCCAGTAAAACAACACTCATCTTTAAGTTTCTGGCAGAAATTCCTCCACCTTCCACTTAGCAATGAAGACACCTGAATCCTGAACCGTTTCCAAGCTCTCATCAATGGACACAACACTTACACTTCCTCCCCCTCCTCCTTCCACGTACTTCTAGAATTACATACACTTAATGCAAACCAGCAAAATAACTGAGAAATAACTCCTAACTTACTACTAGTCCATGGCCTGTAAAACAGGCTTTCCTAAATTGACACTTCAGACAAATTCATGATTAAACACTTTACAACATGCTTAAACATACAGAGATAAAAGACCTTAGTAAGGATTCAGGTATTAAGCATCTCTAATCCAGTTTACATAAAAACAGTGCAGAACGTATAGATATATGTAAATAGTAATAAATAACTAAGAGGGATTTGCAAATAAGTGTTTTAAGAAGGATCAAGTAGTGAAAATGTAGGAGAACCTGACACAGCAGAGCAAACCTATTCTCAATTGCTGTATCTTGTGGACATCTGTGTGAATGAAGATTTTGCTGGTTTCAGTGAGATTAAAAAATTTACAGGGGTGTGGGAAACTCATCTGCAACAGCTTCTGGAATTCACCACATGCAGCTCCAAGCCAAGTGTCAGCACTGGC